GATGATATTTCATGGAAAAAAGAAAACAAAATTGGTTGGTGCATGCCCACTATATGAGATGCTTTAGTAGGCCACAATTTAACAAGGAAACAAAAGGCTGGTGTCACATACCTGGTCGAGGCCAAGCTGATGAGAGGGCTTTCCCTTACACCTCCTGTCCTGTTTCTCCTGAAGGTGATGACAGAATATAACAGGGCATGGAGTGGCACAGGTGCCCTGTATGAGATCCTGGCCGGAAGATTCTTGCAGCAGATGCCAAACAGCAGACAGACTGGTGAGCTTGCCGATGAGAAGACACAGTAGCAGTTGTTGAGCAGCAAGCAGGATGGTAGGCAGGCAGATGCAGTATACTCTGGCAGATGTGGAGGAACTGTAGCAGGTGCAGAACAGCAGGAGGCCAGTTCGCTGGCAAGGAACTGTAGCAGGCACAGAACAGCAGGCTGCCATCTAGCTAGCAAGCAGGCAGATTCAGGATTTTGAGTGGTCAGGCAGGCAAGAGTCAGTATTAGCTGGGCAGCAGAGGTGCAGAATCAGGAACCAAAGCAGAGTAAGAGCCAGGTTGAGACTGGTATCAGGTAAGTAGAGAAGGTACCAAAACAGCAGTCAGGAGGCGGAGTCAGATCACTAGCCAGTCAACCATGGGATATCAGGAACAAACAGATTGCAAAATAGGCTGGGTAAACACAGGTAGAAGCTGACAACCACTCAGCAACTTTTTGGTCTCTGAAGACATTTGAAATAGGCAAGTGGGCGCCAAGAATTCAGGCTTGCTCACACAAATGTGTGTGCGCACATGCGTATGTTAGGGCACGTCTAGTTGTCACTCAAGTAGTATTATGCGCATATCTTTGTGCACATCTGCACATATGATTTCCGTGACAGATGGTTTATAATCAGACAATGTACTACTTTCACAGAAAAAGACAGAAATATTTTATGACTCCATGTACAGTATGTAAGTAGCTTCTCTGGACTGCAATTTCAGAGTGAGAGTGCAGTCAGGCTTTAAGCAAGACTTAAAAAAAACATGCAGAAATATTGTACACACTAGGTAAGCAGCTTTACTAGGCCACAATTAAGAGGAACAGATAAGGTGTTGTCTTTTAAAAAAAAATCTAAATATAAAAAACAGAAATATTGTAGAGACACAATTAAGGAAATGTAAGCAGATTTAATTGGCCACAGTTTGAAAAAGAGGGAACGGGCAGGTTGTAAGCATTACATCACATTTATAATGTGTTATTTCACATAAAAAAGCATACATATTGTAATGACTCCATGCACAGTGTTTAAGCACTTTTACTAGGATGTATTTTTCTCAGGAGAGACACTCTTGATTTTATTCTAAAAATCAACAGTGAGGTGTATATATATTTACATGAAAAAGCTAACAATTATTGTGGTTACTCTATGAACAATATATAGACACTTTCATAAGTTTGGCTTTTAGCCAAAACATCAATATTAGAGTTAGATTTAAACAGCCAGTGCTCAGGTGGACAAAGGGATACAACCTTGCTGCTTGGAAACTTTAGAATTTGTCTTTACAGTTTTTTTTAGTTGCTGTAATTGAAATACACAGTATCTGAGGCTTTGCTCCTTCCTTACTACTGGTGAATCCTTATATAACACTATAGAACAAAAAGAAAGCGCACAAGCATTTTGTGACACATTCATAAAACCTTTAAAAATAGTACAAACTGGTACTCACAAACATTCTTTATAAATGCATTTCTTTCAAAATGACAAGGAAAGGGGCTACTCGGCTCTCATCACACAAGAGATATCCTGCATTAGATGTTACACAGCATGCAGACCTCTTCATCAGTGCCTTGTAGGGTGTTCTTCATGCAATGAATCACACTAGCTAGTACACATTAGGCAGGGTTTTTGGTCTATTAGTGACTGAGTGACAGAGTTAAGAGTGAAACTGTAAGTAATGAGAATGAGAAGATTCTGAGCTGTTTGCCTTCTTAAAGCGGTAGTAAACCGCATCCAAAAAAAAAAGAAAAAAAAAAACCCCTGCATGGTAAAGGCATAATGTGTGTCAGGGAGCGAGGAGCCAGACACACAAGGAGGTGCAATTAAAGGTAGGTTTATTATACAAAAACAAGACAGAATCTATGCAAGTCCAACAGCAACAGCGGATGACTTGGTAGGTCAGAAGCCAGGAAGGATGGTTGCCAGAGCCGGGGTCAGAAGCCAGGAATGACGATCGCCAGAGCCGGGGTCAGAAGCCAGGAAGGATGGTCGCCAGAGCCGGGGTGAGAAGCCAGGAAGGATGATCGCCAGAGCCAGGGTCAGAAGCCAGGAAGGAGTCTTGCCGAAGCCGAGTCGGTATCCAGGAGAGCAATGAGAAACTAAACAGGAGCTTGCTGCTGTGCAACAGACAGGACACAAATGCAATGCACAGCTACGAACAGCTGACTTATATATGATAAGCCCACCACCTCCTGGGGGAGTAGCCCGCAGAGGGCTGAAAGCATAAAGGATCCCACAATGCTTTGCAGACACCTAAGATGGATGCCAGCACATGGAGCAGCACTAGCCCCGAGGAAAGGTAGGACCTTGACAATGTGCTAGTATGCATTGCATACTAGTACATTATGAAGGGCTTACCTTGAAACATAGCCCTCCAGCGGAGTGTGGCACAGCTCCCCAGGGCTTCTATTTTCGCCAGATCTTTCCAGGTTTCCGAGCTCTGATCGGCTGACTAGCCAAGCTGCGATGACGGCACTCCCGTGCATGCATGCGGGACTCTCGGGTCATGGCACAGTGCTCTGAAGGAGCGGCATAGGTATGCCATTCCTTCAGAGCACATGTGCCGGCTATCAAAATGGGATAATATCTCCTAAACAGTGCTCATTTAGGAGATATTAATTTTACCTACAGGTACCCTTTATTATAAACTTACCTGAAAAGTTTACTACCACTTTAAGCAATGAAGAAACCACAGACTGGCAATAAAGGGAATGTATAGTGAGATCAGCAATAAAGGGAATGTATAGTAGTTTGGGGCATATTTATTATTCTTATTTAAAAAAAAAAAAGTAAAAAAGTATGTGATTATGCAATTTTACATATTAATATGCAGGTAGAGCTTTAGGCTTCTTTTTGCATGCAGGCCCCAATTATCCTCTGATGGAAAATAGATGGTTGTTCACATCTTGAGGTTTCAAGCTGCAGTGTAAGAGCAAGTGGCTGACTCATCTATATTGAATCCCTTATTTGGATGCCTCAGAAAGAGCTAGGCAAAAGGAAAGCAACCACTGATGCTGTCTCTACCTAACTCCCAGTGCTAACAAAATTATCTTTGTAATAAATGAAAACATTTTTTTGTAAAACTAGAATTATATACAGGAGAAAAAAATAGTTTTTTTATATTAGTTTTTTTTTTTAATTCCCCAAAAAAGGAACACACACAAGCCAATGTACAGGCATTTTCTAAATTGTTATGCAAGGTTGACAAAATTAGCAATGTCTGGATGTAGATTACAGGAGTATACTTGTTAGCCATTACATAAGATACACTGAGTTTATTACAGGTCTAGAAAGCAGCATCTGGGTCATAAAATATAGGCAAATATATGAAAAAAAGGTAAGTAAATACTTTTCCTATGTATTAGTAATGACTAGCCAGACTCAATACACATTTATTTCAGATGTTAGAACATTAATTCAATCTCAGCAATCCTTTGACATATACAGGGTATGTTCAATGTCATTTATGAACTTTTTTTTACCACTTAGGGCCCCGGTCACATGAGCGTACTCAAGTGTACTCTGCATGTGGATCGTGTTTTGCCTGAACGGATCACACAGGTGTTCCATGCGTCCACATGCATGTAATCCCATTCATGTTACATGGAAGCAGTAACTGCACAGATGCAACTGCTGCTCCCAGATTGACATCCATGTGGGTGGTTCAGGTGAATGACACGTACCCGCACACATATGGATGTCAAATTGGGAGCAGTAGATGTGTCCGTGCAGTTGCAGTGTCCCAATTGACGTGAATTGGACAGCCTGCATGCACGGAAAGTATTTACATCCTGTACAGGCAAAACACAACCCTTATATGATTCTGTTACTTATAATATGTATATCACTTAACTTTCAAACCTTAGTTACCAACATTTTCAGTAAATTTTACATTTAAACACTTAATCTGTCATACCAGATGTCAGAGAAAAAAGCATATAGCTAAGTTTTCCAGCAGTAGTGACAGAAATCTCCCTTACACTATTTTTGCTTTGTTAAGACCTGTGGAAGGCTTACTCTCCCAATGTCCCAATAGTCTGCAGTTATTGTTAGCCAACAAGGGCCAACTGCGTTCCATGTACAAGCAGCAAAGTAATGTATAAAATTACGCACATGCCTTTCAGGTCTCAGTAAAATGTATGCATTAGACATGCAGCTTGCTTTCTATCAGCTCTTACATATATATTTCTCTTTACATATATATTTTTCTTTCACTTTGTTTTTTTAAAATATATATATATATATATATATATATATATATATATATATATATCAATCATCTTTACGGTTGTTGCCCGACAACAATAGATCATATTCTGAGCGTTTTTTTCCAGAGATATAAAACCAAAGCAGGCTAATCCTCACGTATATCTTTTGCCTTTTAGGTGGCTGTGAAAAATATCTTGTTAGGGCTATGAACTCTGTGTGAGCTGAGCAGTGCTGTATGAGGAGGAAACATGAGCAAAGCGTACCTGCCCGGACTAACAAAGTTAATGGGCAGGAAGTTATCCTACAAGCAGGGGTGGACTGACAACTCATGGGGCTCCCGGGCAATAGGGGATCATGGGGCCCCTGTGTCCTCGCCCACACTCAAACCATACCCAAAAAAGCCTATGAAAGGTACCAGGGGCATCTCATGACCTCGGGCCCTCGGTTTCTGAATGGTCAGTTCCGCCCCTGCCTACAAGTTAAATGGAGGCAGACATTTGCAAGGAATTCTGGAAGGCTTAGACCAATTGATGAACTTGGTGGTAGATGAGTGCACAAGAGTGTCACCAAGTAGGCACCAAAACATTAGCTTGGTAATCTATCAAGGGAACAGAATTGTTGAATGGAAGCTTCAGAACAAATATAGTATTCTTAGTAGATGGCCAGGCAAACATTCCACATGATTCCAACTATCAGTGTTTCATCTCCACACATGAATGAATTTTGTGGAATACCTTTTACTTTTATTGTGTATATTATTTTTGCATTAAAATATTTTTTTATCATACAAATTTTTGCTGTGGTGCATGTGACACTCTACTTTCTAACCAGACATTGTGCTTTCAAATAGAAATTAAAGCTTGTAAGTTGTTGTGATTAACTGTAAAACTTGATACATAAGTGTAATAAGCGACCTAATATAATTTGTATATACTAGCACACCACACCACTAATGAAAAAAAGACAGACAGAAGATGCACTTCTACACTTCTACATCCGAATAACAGAGTCTCACTTGTTTCATCTTTAAGGGGTTTTTTTGTGGGGGTTGTCCTATGGTTTGTCTTTACAGATCCAGACAGTCACTCACCTAGGTAAGAATTTTAGGAATATAATGATAGGTGGTCATGCTTTAATAATATTACTATTCACTACAAACTAAGACAGTACTGCTGTCCTCAATGACATATTTTTTTCCATACTGTCACCATTCAGTGTCCCTGATCATCGCCACACCAGTTATATGATGAAGAAATTACAAAATATTTTTTTCACAAATTTTTACATACTGCACTAATGACAGTATGTAAGAAAAAATTGTGAAAAAAATGTTCTTTTCATTTCTTAATTTTTCAAAAAAAGTATGACAAAAAATTACAACTTCAAAAGACTCATCATGCTTCTTACTAAATACCTCGGACTGTCTACTTTGCAAAAAGGGGTCATTTGGGGGATATATGTACTGTCCTGACATTTTTTGGGCTCAAGGAATTAGATTGGCTGTCAGTACTTCAGGATTGGTCAGTTTTCAGATACTCTATATACCATAATTTGTGGAGTCTATAACTTTCCTACAGACTAAATTATAAACACTGATTTGGGTTATTTTCACCAAAGAAATGCAGCAGAATACATCTTGGCCAGAATACATCTTTTTCCAAATTTGTGGTATTTTTCCATTAATTTAGCAATTGTGATTTAGCAATTTAGCAATACCACCAAAAGAAAGCTCTAACTGTGTGAGTAAAACGATAAAAATGTAGTTTGGGTATAGCGTTGCATGACCGCGCAATTGTCATTCAAAGTGTGAAAGCACTGAAAGTTAAAAATTGGCCTCGGCAGGAAGGGAGTAAAAGTGATCGGTATTGAAGTGGTTAAGTAAGGTAGACAATGAATTTTGGGGAGCAACCAGTGTCCTCAACATTGAATTTTAAACATAAGGCAAACCCTTTGATTAGAATTTGTGACAATGGAGACCATGATGATGTTCAGATTCCAGTGGTGATAGAAAATAGTGCAAAAGCTGTCTCATTTCATTGGTTTTAGCAAATATATAACTGCAGGATCATGAAAAGAGTTTGTTCACAATTTTGTGTTTGCTTGATTTGTCTCACTGTCTTAGAGTAGGTGTGGGGGAGACAGACATGCTGCTTTCACAAATATTTGCAAATGTAAGCATCTGAAACCTATTGTTGCAAAATACAAATGGGTTGAATAGGTTCTTCTTGCTTCCTAGTAAACATGAGTGCTGGACAAGTGTGTATTTTACAACCCACCCAAGTCATAAGCAGCATTTTGAATGGGTTGTCACATCATTTCTGGACTACCCTAAACCTCACCTAAGCTTAGCCATGACCCCGTGCCCTTCTCAGCCCACAAACTGGGCCATTGTCCAGAACTAGCCCATTTTACCATCAATAGGCTTGTTTTCCTACCTTCAGATGTCCTGTTGGAAATAATTTTCAGCATGATGGGAATATCATAGTAGTAGTTAGAAAAAAAAACTGCAATCTTCTTAATTCTAGCTAAGGTAAACTTTTACAATAAACTTTTAGAATGTGGTCCAATTTGCTTATTAAATACAGTTTCTTCCCAAACCCTAATGACAATCAGATGACTCCCAGGTTTGTTTTAATATGTATGTTATTTTTAACCTCTATATTTATTCCCTCAGTTTACTAATTCAGGGCTAGCAGTTGTTTACCCCTTATGGACCATATCAATTTTAAAGTGGAATTAAATTTTCCTATCCTGTAGAGCTGAGGAAGTTGCCATCTTGGCCTCTGTTTGATCTTCACTTGCCATGATGCTGCACATGTGATCAGTTATGACACCAGCAATTTGATGGTTTGACATTTTGGTTGAGAACACAGGCAAACGTGACAGTTACATTTAACTGCTTTTTTGAAACTGTTAACTCAAAGGGTTTAATTTTGCTTTAACAATTCCACTATGGACTTGTTGATTTACAAACAGCTTTGCCATTACTTGTAAATTTGAAATGTTACCTATGCAGCTTTTTGGGGACAGGAACGGTTTTTTTGGTGATATTGTCTATCAGAATCATATTAATTAACAAAAACTTGTGGTGTAAAAATAAAATAAATAAAAATATTTTTTTTTAAATTGGCAAAGAAGTAGCTATGGACAGATGGGGAAGGAAAACTTAATTTACAGCTAATTTGTGTTAACTTGGGGGCTAATTGGGGGTTAAAAAGAAATACAGAAAACTTTATTAATTTAAAAAGGCAACTCTTTTTCTACAGTGTGATCTGCAGTAACATGCTGCAACTATTAGTCATCATGCACACTGGATGTTTTTACAGCTGCTGTTTTTGGCTTTTGATGTTTTTTTTCTACAGCCAGTAAACTACTCAGCATGTTATCCTATGTGTCCATGCACACATAGACTGTGATCAGCGTTTTTGACGGACGTTTTTTGGCTGGAAAAAACCCCAGGACTAGTGAGTTTTCTAGAGGAGTTTTTTAGCTGTAAAAACGCTCTAATGCTGAAAAACATGGCACAATTTGGCAAAATGCAGTAAATCGCGGCAAACCGGCGTTTTTTTTAAAGCCCAAAAAATTGCAAATGCGAAAAAACGCAGCTGAACACTAATGCAAAAACGTTGAAAAACTAAAATTTTTTATGTGTCTTTACACAGCTGACATTACCATCGTTATTAAAACGCCCAGTGTGCATGGAGCTTAAGAATGAATGATAGCTGCCGCCAGCTGCAACAATGACCATTGAAGCTGAAGCTATAGGTATTTGTCTGAAAAGCACTCCAAGTAGGAGCATGCATAGTAAAATTGTGTGAGGCTTGAAGGGCAGGGGTAAAACGTATTTGATATCTTCCAGGGTGTATATATTGTAAAGAGCCCACAAGTGGTTAAACAGCCTACTGTATATGCTTGAAACAGTTACTATATTTTGAGTTAGGCCTGGTTCACACTATTGTGGGTGGGAATCGCACCTGTTTCTGCACCCGCAACCACCAGCAGCGACAATATGCTGCTGTTTAAAAACGCATTGGGCTGCCATTCATTCTGAATGGCACCCCCATACATCTAAAAAAAACGCAGCACGTTTGTGGGTGCCGGAGCTGCCAGAAAATTGCACGGTGCAAGCACCATGCACCTGAAAATGCAGGCATGGCAGCCCATTCAAATGAATAGGCTACTGTGCCCAGGCAGACGCAGCCCCCACACCCACGATAGTCTGAACCAGGCCTTACAGAGTAACGTCTTATATTTCAGTGATGTATTTTGTGGTGACCTTCAAGTAAATAGTTTCCCATTGAATATTCTATATTTTGTATATAGTTATATAAGGTGATAATGTCTGCTTTTCATGCCCCTCCCACTTAAAGTGTTACTAAACCCAGGACCCTGCATTCACTATATCTGGTCTCCCATAGTACAAAGAGCATGTAAATGCAATTATTTTAGTAAATATAAACTGATAACTACCTTTTCATATATAGCAGTCTTGTGACTTCTATCAGTGTCCAGCAGAGCACTGGTTAAAACTTGTAGGAGGAGTTTTCTTTTTGCTCTAAGAGGATGCAGAACCCCTGACCTCTGTCTGGACAGTGCTGATTGGGCCTGTGCTGGTCACATGCACTCTCCCAAGAAAATAAAAACCTCCCTAGCTATACACACCAAACTAAGCATGTGCAGAGTGACTCCACATGATATGTCTTATCAGGAGATAAGAGGGGGACACTGGAAGAAGGGGATGATCATAGAAGTCAGGATTTACACAATACAGAGGATTAATCCCTTAGGTTCCACTGTGAGTATAACAAGAATGCTTTACTGCATATACAGACTGATTTACTACTGTGGGTTTAGTAACACTTTAATTTATAGAAAGATGTAAAGGAACACACTTTTACTCTTATCCTAAATCCTTCACAATTGTCCACCAAATCAATCACTTCTGATTAGATGACAATTTACAGCTACCTATGTGTTGATGCAAATTAATAGTTAAACCATTTCTACAACTTCCATGCCATTCAGCTATAGGGTCTCAGGCTGCCCCTTAAACAGTTGCTGCTGCTGCTGCTGCTACTGCTGCTGCTTTCAAAGACATGCTTCACAGAAAAAAAAAACATTTACTTAGCATTGAGTTCTATACTCAAACTAGCTTCTACTTTCTTTAGGTACACAGATAAAAGAGATCAGTTTGGCAAGTTCAATGAGTGCTAATGTTTTTATTTTCTTTCTATAAAATGTTTGTAGTAATGTATGCACATGGTGTAGCCATATTTGCTCATTACATATCAAGGCACTGCTTCCTACTTTGGTATGCTAAGCATTGGTTGTGCTTTGGTGGTTCTCCTCTCAATGCAAGGCTATCAGTTGGCCAACTCATAGAAAACAATGCACTTACTGTATGACTTATATTTTCTCTCAACTGTTGCTAATAAGTTAAGTATTGTAGTATTAATCTAAACTGCCTCTAGTGATTAATCTACAAATCTTTGTGTTTATTACAAAAATATATAGTAACACCAACATTAATAATGGCATGCAATGCCAAGCTGCGGTTTCTAAAGCGAGCAAAATCCTCTCTTGTATTAAAAGAGGTATAGACTCCAGAGAGAGAGATATCATATTACCCCTGTACAAATCATTAGTAATACCTCATCTGAAATATGCAGTTCAGTTTTGGGCA